TATATATATTAACTAACATTTTTATATATTATTTATTTATTTACAAATTATTTTGTGAAAAAGTACATTTAGGCTATTTATCTTACAATAACGGTCATGCACAAATAATTATTTTTTTCTGTTTGCATAAGTAATATTTTATAGTCTGTATTAGATTATTTCAAAACTAAATCAAAACTAAAAAAACAGTACAGTAAGATGTACAAAAATTTCAGTTTTACATTGGGTGCTAAAGCATGAATAGTCATTAACCTGTTATACAGTAATTTGTATGGATATTTTTTTTTGTAACTTCATCTTTAATTTGCTAATGTCAATCTAGTAAATTTTAACGATTATCAAATAATATAATTTCATGAATTTCAAGTATGACTTGTCCAGTCCAGTGTTCACATTTTTGTTTTGAGAGCAACGAGGTTGCAAGCTTTTAATTGTAATAAACCCAAATTGCAGCTGTACATTAATGGCTGTACATTAGAAGCAGGAACACATCTCCATATATATCCGGATGGTAATGAATTGCACAGCTGAAAGTCTGTATAATGCACTGGTGACTTGATTATATAAAGTAATAAATAGGAATGGGAAGAGTCTTTCAAGAGTGGTTTTGTTTACAGTATTCAAACTGAATTGGTCTGAAAAGGATGCTGATCATATTTTATGACTTTATTAGTAATTCCTAATAAAGAGTGTCCAAATATTTGCCTTCTGTAAACAGTAGTTCATCTTTCCCGACATTGGGCTTTAGTACCATTTCCTGCACAATACTGCTTGAATAGGTTAACAAACTTGGTTCTTTATATATAAAAAGAAGCTTATCTAAAACAAACGCTGATAAAGAAAAAAAAAATTATAGTGCCTTTTAAAGAATTTGCAAGGTCAAGCACAAAAACATTCAGATCTGCTTAATTGTTTATCAGAGTTCAAGAACAGAATCTGCATTACATAATACAATAAACACTGACTTTTCCCACCCAAAACAGTTTTATCTTCCATTACATAAACACAGGATCTGTGAAAATCAACCATCATACAGTATGTGGACTGAACATAGGTTCTGTTTAAAAGTCCTGTTTTTTTTTTCTTTCCTCAGTGGAAACCTGGGCACATTTTCTTCCAAGATTCAAGTTATGTGAAAACAGACTCCTGTATTGAATCATGCAGACCCATAACAGCAGGTGTAAGGCAACAAAAAAAATTATATATATATATATATTTTTTTTGTTGCCTTACACCTGCTAAAAAAATTATATATATATATATATATCATTTTTTTTGTTGTCTTACACCTGCTGTTATGGGTCTGCATGATTCAATTTAGCTTTTACTTCCCTGGAAACCAAACATTTTTAGTGTTCCATTTTATTTCATTATCCAATTAATATGCATTTCCAAATGTGACCCTGGACCACAAAACCAGTCATTAGGGTCAATTATTTGAAATTGAGATTTATACATCCTTTGAAAGCTAAATATTTGATACAACTATTTGAAAATCTGGAATCTGAGGGTGCAAAACAAAAAATCTAAATATTGAGAAAATAGCTTTTAAAGTTGTCCAAATTAAGTCCTTAGCAATGTGTATTACTAATCAAAAATTAAGTTTTGATATAATTATGGTAGGACATTTACAAAATATCTTCATGGAACATGATCTTTACTTAATATCCTAATTATTTTTGGCATAAAAGAAAAATTGATAATTGTGACCCATACAATGTATTTTTGGCTATTGCTACAAATAAACCCGGGTGACTTAAGAGTGGCTTTTTGGTCTAGTTGAGAAAATAGCTTTTAAAGTTGTCCAAATTAAGTCCTTAGCAATGTGTATTACTAATCAAAAATTAAGTTTTGATATAATTATGGTAGGACATTTACAAAATATCTTCATGGAACATGATCTTTACTTAATATCCTAATTATTTTTGGCATAAAAGAAAAATTGATAATTGTGACCCATACAATGTATTTTTGGCTATTGCTACAAATAAACCCGGGTGACTTAAGAGTGGCTTTTTGGTCTAGGGCCACAAATATTATAATAAACCATTAAAAAAAAAAACAATTTCCAGCATAAATAACTATTTTGATTAACTTAACATGGTATAAAATTATTAATACTGTCACACAAGAATGGTTTTTTATACTGCCCGATAATAGGGAATATCAAAATGTGCAAAATGATATAGTACAGTATACACCATATCAAATATTCAGGATGGTATCTTTTTGGCCTCGTTGCTAAATTCTATTCGAAAGAACCTGAGGGTTGCAAACATGACATGTATGACTTTGTATATGGTGCATTTGTTATCAGATGTGCCTTTGTTGATCATATTTTTACTGGCGTTTCTTCTGTATTTGCAGTTCTGTCTCCAGAACCTAATACTCTCGTTGAAACTCTACGCAAACTCCCCATTCTGCATGATGAGCAGTACGCACAACAGACCAGACTGTATGAATACTACAAGCCTCCGGAGAACACGCTGGTGCTGCCGTAAGTTCCCACACTGCACAAAAATACGTGATCAGGTTAGAAGTTTGTGGAGGTGTTGTCCTATTCATAGATCCAGTATTTAACTATTTGTGTACAAGATACAGGTTTGATGGTTGGTTTCTGTTATTATTGCACCAGAATAGCAATACTTCTCCCAGAATTAAAGTTGTCATTATTTACTTGCCTTATCTAATTAAAAAAGGCTAAAAATACATATTAAAAACATTCTTTAAAAAAAAACAAAGGATGTAGGATTTTGTTTCTTTTCTTTTGTACACATCTGATAGTATTATAGACCATGCAAATTTGTGTTATTTTAACAGGAAGTCCGCTCATTCAGCTGATCCTCTAATTCATGGGTGTTGTAGTACAGGTAGCATAATGTTTGCCCTTGGGGGATGTATATGTACTTGTACTTGTTTGCATGATTTGTGTTATAAATTTGCTAGTTAGCTCAGTGGTTATGGCTATACAATAATGTTTAAGCTATGAAAATGGCAGATTAAATATGTGTTTCTTCTTGACAACTTCATCTCATGCATTCACTGGTGTAATTTACTGTGGCATTATTTAAAGCCTGTTCACACCATGTCTGATGACTAAAAGTCTAAAATAAATAATTCTATAATTCTATATATTTATTATACTGTAATGCAGAGTCATTATAATATAATATAATAAATGTGTTTTAAATGAATATTAATTTAACATTCATTTATTGCAATAAATATTAATTTATAAAGTCAACACTTTGAAATTATTCACACCAAGTGGAACATAACAAAAGGTTACAGTGCTAACATTGTAACATAAAATATAACACATTTTTTCATGTTTTATTTGAAATAACTGGTCTTTTAACAATTGTAATATAGCATGGTTTTTATGTCTAAGAATTACAATACACTTTCCACAATAAATGTTGTTCCACAGGTTATATGTGTAGCTTCATATTACAACCTTATATTATATATAAGCAGATTCAGTTTGAAATGCTGTATATATACCAGCCTATATTTTACATTTGGGTTGATTAAAGCTATCTAATAATGTCTCGATAATAGAAAGGAGCAGTCAAGTCAGTTTTATGTTTGGTGCCTTAGTTTTGTATTCTGCACATTAAAGGTGTGTGATTTTTGCTTTTGATTTGCAAACATAACATATGCTGTACTGGCTATATGTTATGGTTGGGTTGTGCACATGTGAGTATGTTAGAGTTGCGCCAATGCGAAATTTGTATGCCAAACCCAATATCCTGTTACTTCTACAAATCTATATTAGTATTAGAACTATTACTCTTCAAGCTCATCAGTGCACCTAACAAGGGTGGCCCAATTTAACAGCCACATGAACATATGTATGTGGTTTTCGGATAAGCTGCCCATTGTTAATGAAGACAGGTCATGCTAATCTGCTCACTCTCGGTTCCTAAATGTGGAACATAGTCCAGTGCTCCCCTCTTTATTATAGTAAGACCATGAGCCACCCCTAGAGCGATGAGCAAAGTCTGAAGTCTGCTGCTTCATAACATTTACTCATCCATTGACGCACAAATGGTTTTTGCTTTAACTACAGGAGACGCCCCTGAAATCAGTCAAACTCTCGCTGTCAGTAATAATCAACTTTTTTTGTTTTAGTTGATCTAGCTAAACTAACCCATGTTTGCCTATAATGGCCTTTGCAAGTTTTGCTTTACTTTAAGAGCTTGTTGTCAGTGTTTGGGTGTCTTTCAAAATAAATATTAAAATTTTGATGCTTTTTAAATCATATTCTCTCTTTTTTTTCCACTCCAGACTGTCCAAACAGAACAAGAGGATTGTATATTCAGTTTTAGAGTATTCTCCCCTTCTCGACTCCTGCAATATGACCACAGATGACTGGGCCACTATTGGAAAAGACATTGAGGTGCTCCCTTTTTAACCATCTTTATGTTTTAAAATTTGTTGTGTGAAACTTTGGGACTTTGATTGTATTATACAACTATTGAGCTTTGATCGGGTCACTCCCATTGGTGCGCATATTTAAAAAAAAAAATTCCACAGCCCTGAGTTGGACAAGACTGAATGTAATGACTTGTAAACAGAGCTGATCATGATTAGTTTTTTGATGCTGGTATTTTATTATTATTATTTTTTTTATAAAAGGGGAATTTTTCAATTTGTAATTGTTGTCAATCTTCTAATTTCTTGAATATAGTTCTGTGACCAGATAAATAGATTGTCATGTGGTATTTTTTTACTTTTTTTCTCTCATGTTGACAGAAACACTATGAGCAATATGATGGTTTTGTCGTCCTGCATGGCACAGACACAATGGCTTACACTGCCTCTGCCTTATCCTTCATGTGTGAGAACCTGGGAAAGCCTGTCATCCTCACTGGCTCACAGGTAACACGTTTTGAAGGGATAGTTCACCCATAAATCATTTACTCACCCTTGTTTTTCCAAACCCGTATGATTTTCTTTCTTTCTTTCATGGAACACAAATTAAGGATTTTAAAGAATAGTCTTTGACTACTTGTAGAACTAAATGTGCATTTTAGTTATGTCTCAGATGTTTCCATTAAATAGTTTTCAGTGCACCAGTATACTTATAGTTATTAAGCCTAAATACATTTTTTATTCCATTTAACATTTTATTAAATTTCACATTTAAACTTGTGGCCATGAAAAAAAAGAATAATGCTGACTTCATCAATAGCTTCACAACCATCTTGTATATGGCAGGTGCCCATCTATGAGATGAGGAATGATGGGAGGGACAACCTCTTGGGGGCACTGTTGATAGCAGGACAGTTTGTCATCCCAGAGGTGAGTTTTATTGGTTTTCTGTAAGAAATGCACATATTACATTTGGATACAAAGACAAGATACCGTCACATATTTGTGTTTTTTTAAGATGCTTATTTTGGAGCATGTTAACTTGAACAATATATAGCTAATGATAATTCTTATAAAGAAATTATTTTAAAGCCGTTTGAGTGAATTGCTTACTTTCTTCACAGGTTTGCCTCTATTTTCATCATAAGCTGTACAGGGGCAACCGTGTCACCAAAGTGGATGCTGGAAGTTTTAACGCATTTACTTCACCGAATCTGCCGCCATTAGCCAATGCTGAAGTCGACATTAAAAGTGATAACAGTTCTGCCAACATACACAGTCTTATGCCCGGTTCAGACTACATGATTTTAACCCGATTTTGCCAATATTTGCTTGACGTAGGGTGTCGTGGGGAATCGTAAACGACAATGGGCATCGGGACGCAAGATTCCATTGTTTCAGCATGGGTAGTGTGTCATAGTGGACGACAACCGATTCCGCGTCTGCGATGCTTCACGACATCACGACAGAAAGACTAGCATGTTTAATTTTTTTCCTGTCGTCTACGACGAGTTCTGTCACATTGGTGACATTGACCAATAGCAGCACAGAAGCTCTTTCATGCACAGGTTTCAAACATGGCAAAACGAAAGAGAGATTATGGTGCTGCTAGGTGGAGTTATGAGTTCGTGGAGTTGTGGCAACAGTACTCCTGCCTGTATGATGTGTCATCGAGAGACTACCACGACAGAACAAAGAAAGAAAAATTCTGG